CGCCTTCCCCACCAAAGTTCGACTCCACTAAGTCGCGTTACGCCGCGTAGTAGGGATTGGTTATGGATCGGGCCTTGTCGATCCAAAGATGTCAAAAAAAAATAAAAATCTATCATTAAAAGTTAAAACAATATGGGAAGAAAGATCCCACATTGGAAAGATGGGAAGGGACTTGAGTAGTACATATATAAGGGATTTGGGTCAATCCACTCATTGCCAATTGATTTTGAGTTGGAAGCCCATGAAACTTAACATGGTATCAGAGCCCGATCCATACGCTGACCCATTAATCCGGCCCGGAAAATGGCCCAATCACCCCCACTAATTGATGGCTCAAAGGAAGGTTCAATTGTGTCGAGGTGGCTAGAAGAACATTATCTCGATTGGGCGTGATGGATTCTGTCGAGATTAATGGCTAGAAGAGCCATTATCTCGAGGGAACGTGTGGAGAAAGATCCCACATTGGAAAGATAGGAAAGGACTTGAGTAGTATATAAGGGACTTGGGTCAATCCACTCATTGCCAATTGGTTTTGAGTTGGAAGTCCATGAAACTTAACATAATATGTCAAAATGATCAATGGCTCTATATCTAGTCTGATCAACCGACTAGACAACTAACAAAGTGGATTATAATAGTTTTAGCCGTAGATTCCAACAAAAAAAAGATTGAACAGTAGATTGACATTAATTTTAAATAAATAAATACAAAATTGTAAAAATATATAGTGTATTATTATTCAAACATCATACGTAAATATATTTGAGCAAGAAAATACTTTTTGCTTAGAATAATTATAGATTTATAGTAAGTGCGATTTCACGACTACCAATTAGACCGAAACACGTAAACAATGTTGAAATCGGTTTAAAGCAATGCAGCAAAATTCCGGGCTTCTTGCAAAGGCTAATATGGAATCAATTAAACAATTAGATTCACAAAATAATATCGCCAAGAATTAAATCTCAAAATTTATTATTGGTCTCTTAAATAGATGAATATTTAATCCATGTTAGATTAGGGTTTTTGTTTATGAACGCCTTATATAAGGCTTAGATTATGCGTTAAGAGGGGCAACTTTTGATTATTGAATAAACGAGTTTTAAGAGAGCTTTGTGTAAATCCTAGAGAAGAGGACTCTCAACCCTAAGAGCTTGTGTTCAAGCCCTGCAAGGAGGACTTGGAAAACCACATCGATATCGTTACCGATCTCGACCCTATCCCTATTGCTTCTTCGTCAAGTTTCGACGTTCTAGGCAAGATCCGTTCGTGAATCCGAATTCTCGTGGAGATCTTGTGTTCTCGTCCGTTATTTAGCTTTCGCTCTCTATCAGTAGGTATCAGATTCATCTCGTTCCTGGTGGTTTGATTCCCTTACAACGATGTCTTTGAAAGACATGAGATGGGAGACCAATTTTAAGGTGGATATTCCCAAGTTCCACGGTGGAATATCTAGTGATTCGTTACTAGATTGGCTTGTGGAGATTGAAGAAATTTTAGAATTTCTAAGCGTTTCAGATGATATATTTGTTTCGCTCGTGGTTAAGAAATTTAGAGGATACGCAGCATCATGGTGGCATCAAGTAAAGACATCACGCAAGCAAGCTGGCAAGAATCCCAATAAAACTTGGGCTAAACTTAGGCAAAAGTTATGCGCAACCTTTTTACCTCGTAATTACGATTATACGATGTATTATCGTTTGAAGACTGTGAAACAAGGAGCGCGATTTGTGGATAACTTCGCCGAGAATTGTCAGTTTCAAGACAACGACTTCGTCGGTAAGCCTGTTCATGATCGTTATGAGCATCTTGACCAGATTCAAGACAAAGACGTTGATGTTCTTGACGTGTACAACGACGATGATGATCTGATCTATGACGTGTATTATGAACACAACGACAACACTTGTGCAGATCTGATTAGAGATCTAGTCTACGATGACGACGGAGACCAGGTTGGAGTCGGAGTTTCTAAAGATCAAATTCACAACAGAGTGGCTCATGTTCAAGATGGTGTTGACGGTGTCGATGTTCAAGTGGTGGAACATGTGAAATTTGTAAACACAAAACGTGCTCAAGTCACCAACAAAATCAACGAGGATGTCATACGAACATATATGAATGTGGAGAAGCAAAGTGTGAATTGTGTCTCCTGCAAAAATAGCATTGATGATACGATCGGTGACGTGTATGGTGATGAAGATAGTGAAGTTTATCGTGATGATTTTTCAACTGCAGATCGCGTCTATGATGGAGATCCAATTTTCGATGAAGACGAAGATTCATACATGAATAAGGGAAACTGGGAAAGCACGATTACTCTATGTCTCTATTTATCTTACAAATCGTCATCGGAAAATTTATAGTGAACCTCCAGATCGTGGGCGAAGCGAGATTTTTTATGTTCACAGTGAGGTAGAACTCCACAACAAGCTCAGTGATTCTCTAGTTTCAGGTATCTATATTGAGAATATCAATCTTTGTGATGATGATTCTCACGGAGAAGACAGAGAGAAAATTGAAGTTAAAGTGCTTGAGAAAGTAAAAATTCTTGTACCTTTTGGTCATTGGGGATTGATAAGAGAAGATTTCCATGTGAGTTAAGAGAGAAATCATAAAGAAGATGAAATCAACATATGCAAGTCAACAACAGAGTTTTTGGATTGGGGTTTTGAACAAGAAAAAAACATACGGCAAACTCCATCTTTTCCTCAACGCGACGTCTCCGGCGAAGACGTAAATATCATAAACCACGTTGATTTTTTCTTTACCATTGGAGCTTTGGATACAATCAAGAGGAATATGGTGAAACTATGTGTTGAAAATAACATATTTATGACTCTCTTTTCACGAGAGTGTATGTTGGGGAAGTCATTTTCTGGTTATAATAATGTGGGGGAAGAAGAACAACTAAGCTCTGTTCTACATTGTTATGTTGAGTGTGTCACTAGCACTTCGTAAAGAATTATCTCTAGCATGCGATTGGAGACAAGAAGGCATGGAAAAAGAAGATCTTTTGGTCACATGTGTTCAAGGAAGTTTGGATAGCCTAATTGTTTTGACGAAGGCTCTTTATGAAGGAAGTCTTAACAAGTTGCACTTGAGGCGGAAAAAGAAAGGCCATGAAGTTCTTATGCGCAAGTATTATGAATTGGTGGACAAAGGATATGTTCAACGATTTAAGATTCGGGTCGAATCTTTCTAACCCGGAGGGACTGATGCAGCGCATCTTCAAGATCGAACGTCGCAAGATTCGAGGACGAATCTTCTCTAACCCGAGGAGACTGATGTAGCGTCATCTATGATACATGGGCTTTTATTTTGGGCTTTTAATTAGTATATACGTTTATGATTTTAGATTAGGGTTTTTGTTTATGAACGCCTTATATAAGGCTTAGATTATGCGTTAAGAGGGGCAACTTTTGATTATTGAATAAACGAGTTTTAAGAGAGCTTTGTGTAAAGCCTAGAGAGGAGGACTCTCAACCCTAAGAGCTTGTGTTCAAGCCCTGCAAGGAGGACATGCAAAACCACATTGATATCGTTACCGATCTCGACCCTATCCCTATTGCTTCTTCGTCAAGTTTCGACGTTCTAGGCAAGATCCGTTCGTGAATCCGAGTTCTCGTGGAGATCTTGTGTTCTCGTCCGTTATTTAGCTTCCGCTCTCTATCAAGACTCCATATCATAAACATGCCGAGCATACTCTTTCAAATAACATTTTTACCTCTGTCCTTTCGACTTATCGTGATTATTCTCGTTTTCTTGAAAATTCCAACCCTACGATTTTCTAATCTCACCTAACATAATATTGTACATATAATCATTATGCAATTTAAAAAGTTTATATAATTGTAATTCGTCGTTTAATAAGTTTTAGTTACGCTATATTGGTTTAATCTTATTATTATTCTTTCTTTCTTTTTTTTGTTAAAATGATTTTTGTATATATTACTTATGTTTCTAGTTTCTACTATACCAATTCATATATTTCTATTAAAATCTACATTATCCTTATATTAGTTTTACCAATTTTCCACCGATCGTAATCAGTCAATTGCTTTATTTATCTCCATTTTCTACCCCCGACCACACTGGCTCCAACGATACACAATGCCAAGCATATATATATATATATATATATATTTAAAGCATAAAAATTCCGGTAAAACAATTCCATGTGCTGTGAGATTACTTAAAAAGTGGAGACGTGCTTTGTCTTACATGAAAGTGAAATGTCAACAAAGAAATTTAAGATTCCTTAAATAACAAATCAATCATTATATAAATTGTTTCTAACGAAATGTGGCATATTTTTGTGCCGTCTAAACTATTTCACGTATAAGTGAAGGGGACACATGGGGGAGAGGGTCAAATGTGAGACATACAAGATTATTAAACCCAAATTTTCTATAATATCATATGAATTATTAGTTTGATAGTCTATATTTCAGAGATATAAAATTGACATCACATCTGAGTTTAAATCCGATCTATACACATTCGTTACAAGATATTAAAAAATACAAGTTTAGTCAAGTAGAAAGTAGAAAGTAGAAACCATGACCCCAAAAACATTTAACTTTTCATTTATATTACACCTACACTTTTCATTTATAAACTATTCACAATATTGGAACCAAAATCGGATATGAATTGGATCGAAAAGTATTTTCTAAATAATTTTTTGATAAAAAACAAAACTAAATTGTATTACTCCGAATATCTCGACCATAATGTTCCATTCCGTATATTATATCCGTCTACCACTATAATCTTAATTAATTTAAGATTAAATAATAATAATAATTAAATTTAAACAAAAATTGCCACCGTTAATGGAAAAAGAAGTATATAAATCTAAATTAAATAATCGTATATTATTATTTTTAATTATAAATGTTGTTTAGTACAGGTGGCTTACAAAATCCAAAGTGCCGGTACTTATTAGCTTTTCCCTTCCATTTCAAGTCAAAAGTCCAAAACTCTGCAGATTATCTCAAATTCCGAAATTACCCTCAAACCCGATCATGGAAGAATCATCAAACCAACGATCTCAACAATTCCTCAACTGCTCAACCCGACCCGACCCGATCAACAAACCACCGGAATCACCAGCCACCAAATTCTCGTTCCCGAATCTCCTTCTCTGGTTTGATCAATCAAATTGCGTTAAAACTCTCACTTCATGGTCCATCTTCTTCCTCCTCGCCGTCATCGTCCCAATGATCTCTCACTTCGTATTAATCTGCGCCGATTGCGATTTCAAACACCGCCGTCCTTACGACGGATTAGTGCAGCTTTCGTTATCGATCTTCGCCGGAATCTCGTTCGTTAGTCTCTCAGATTGGTCCAAGAAATATGGAATCCGAAGATTTCTCTTCTTCGATAAGCTTAAAGATGTTACCGATAAAGTTAGGATCGGATACGAAGCTGAAATCCAGGTAAATTAAACGTACCTGCTAATTATAGTGATTAGTATCTAATTTCATAATTAAGAATCGACTTATTTGGAATTAAAATTAGTAATTAGTGAAATGAATAAAAATTGATAGTCTCCTCTGTTTCTTGTTGCAGAGATCAATGAAGCTACTAGCTATCTTCGTCCTCCCATCGATAACGCTTCAAGCTATCTATCGCATTTGGTGGTATGCTTCAGGCTTTAACCAAATCCCTTACATCATCAACCCAATGCTGAGCCATGTCTTAGCCTGCACACTCCAGCTCTCTTCTTGGCTCTACCGTACATCACTCTTCATCATCGCTTGTATCCTCTACAAAAACATCTGCCACCTCCAGGTCCTCCGTCTTGATGAATTCGCCCGTTGTTTCGCCTCTGAGATCAAAGATTTTAACTCCATACTCGCCGAGCATCTCAAAATCCGGCGTGAACTGAAGATTGTTAGTCACCGTTTCAGGCGATTCATTCTTTTGTCATTGTTTTTCGTCACTGCCACTCAGTTCATGGCATTGCTTACCACCATCAGAGCTAGTGTTCCTTTTAATATTTACGAAGTTGGCGAACTCGCGGTAAGAAATCCTCTTCACTTTCATAGAGAGACGCAAATTTTTCAATCATTGTTCTTATCATTACATGTTTAAATTTTGCTGAGGTTGTCTTTTAACATTATTTTGTTTAATGTCTCTGTTTTTTTACAGTTATGCTCCATAAGCTTGGTATCAGGGCTATTCATATGCTTGAAAAGTGCAACGCAGATGACTCATAAAGCTCAATCTGTTACGAGCATCGCCACAAAGTGGAACGTTTGCGCATCTTTAGATACATTTGATGTTCTTGATGATGGAGAGACTCCTAAATGTCCAACGACCATACAACACTCCCAGATTTTATCGCGTCGTCGTAATGTTATTCAATCATCTGACGACGATGAAGAAGGAGAAGGAGATCACAATGATCTTGATATACATCCAATCTTTGCCCGCGCTATTTCTTCCCAGAAACGTCAAGCTCTAGGTAAATAAAATCTTGAATTAGACGATGATTCGAATAAATCTTTTTCGCCGTTCAACTAATTCGGTATCTCTCTTGTATATATATAGTGACCTATCTAGAGAACAACAGAGCAGGGATCACTGTTTATGGATTCTTGGTGGATAAAACATGGTTGCGTATGATCTTTAGCATCGAGCTTGCTCTTCTTCTATGGCTACTCAAAAAGACAATCGGTAATGTTATATGTTTCTATAAATCTATATTTTTCATTTCATCACTCTCCTCTTGTACATAAACCGAAAACATTCTCTTCTTGTTTTTGGTTTTTGGCAGTGAACATAACATGAAAACGAAATCAGTGTCACACAACACACGACGAGATTAGTACCAAAGATGTTTTATTTCAACAATGGCGATATAACAGATTTTTTTTTGTAGATCGTCTATAGATACAAATATTCAATGTGTGTATTTCCTTTTTTAGTTATATATATGCGTCCAGATCATGTTTATTGATTGTGTGTAAAAAGTAAAAACTGATTTTTGAAAAATATGTTTGGTCTAATTGATGAATCCTAGTGTGAAATGTATGATTATGGTTTTGTGATCTTCTCATAATTTGTGACTTGTGTGATACAACTTTAGGATAACACAAATTATTTAGGTATGCTGCGCTGAAATTTTGCAAAATGGCGGCTTTTATTCAAGTTTTCAAATTTAGAAAAAGAGAAAATATATATATATATATCTGCGAGCTTCGGATATCAAATCACAGCCGTTAATTGCTTTTGCAAAAAATCTGATCTTCTTTAAACTGTAATAGGAAAAAAATCTAGTTAATTAGGCTAATTAGCTATTAAATCCAACTTCACGTTGTTTTAAACTTCATGAGTTACACAGCGTGTCGGCTTCCTAAAACGACGTCGTAATATAGTTCCCCCTTCCTCGACAAGCGCCAATCCCGTTAAAATCCTCTATTTGGAATTATCTCCTTTTCTCTCTAGACGCTCTCTCTCTCTCTCTAACTCAACAATTCAGTTTCAATTTCAAATTTCAGAAACCATTTTCTCTCTCTATCTCTCTTCTTCTTCATCTCTCAGTAATGGAGACGTCGTCGGCGATCTCGATCGGTACTTGTTTGAAAGAGCATCAGAAGATCTACAAGGAATGGTTCAACATCGCCGATTCAGGTTCTGTGCTTTTTTCCTCCTTCTCAGATTGAATTCACTAGTCCGTCGTGATTATTCTGTTCTGATTTTGTTTAGATTCTCTGAGATTTCAGATGGAGATGGTCGTGTTTCCGGTAACGATGCTACGAAGTTCTTCGCGATGTCAAAGCTTTCTCGCCAGGAACTCAAACAGGTTATTATTCTTATAATCGACGAATCGTGTAATATATAGGCTATTTGGTTTAAGATTGTACTCTCTGAGTTCATGAATCCGTGGAACTTATAAGAATATGAAGTGGATTTTGAAGTGTATAACCTAGGGTTGATTTGTATTAGTTGGATTTTGGTTTGAAAGGTTTGGGCAGTTGCGGATTCGAAGCGGCAAGGATTTCTCGGTTTATCGGAGTTCATCACTGCGATGAAGGTATAATTGTATCGGATACATATGTTAATTGAATTTTTTTGGTTGAATTTCTTACTCATTGGACTGATTTTGTTGCTCAGCTCGTCTCATTGGCACAAGAGGGACATGAAATTACTTCAGACCTTCTCAAAGGCTCAGGTAATTGGAAAATTACATCTTAAAATGTTTGAATCAATAGGTTCTGATGTAAGAGCTTGATGGTCAAAGACAGTAGCATCGTTTGTTAGTAGATATAGCAATTAGGTTGGATTCTTTTATCAGAAATTGGCTAATCTCTATCTTTTATTTATTTATTTATTTATTGTAGTTGATATGAAGAGTGTGGAACTTCCAGTGTTGGAAGGACTAGAAAACGTGGTATCTGTGAGACTCTTTCTTATCTCATTTTGTTTTTGAATCTTTACATGGTTTGGCTTTCCTAATCTAAGAATTGTCTTACAGAAGCAGAAAGTGGCAAAAACAAATGTGGATGTTGAAGAAAATGGTTGAACAACATTCTTTCTTTTTACCAATTGATTCATTCATGATGTTTTTGTTATGTAAAAATTGTTGATTTGCTGGCTAAACTTGCAGTAGTTACCAAGCTACAAGTCACGGCTAAAGCTCCTTGGTTCAAATCAAAATCTATTATCAAGGTAGGATAATACTTGCTTTGTTGCTGCAATGTCCATCTTCTAGATATTTTTTGTCTGTTCTAACAAGTAATCTGCTACTTTGCATTGTCCAGCCACAAGTGAATGTTGTGACAATTGTTGATGGCTTGAAAAGATTGTACACTGAAAAGCTAAAGCCTTTGGAAGTCACATATCGTTTCAACGATTTTGCATCTCCAGTACTGGTAAGTGAATTTATGTTATCCTTACTGGTTCAGAAACACTTGTGAGGTTTTGTTTATTCCTCTTTTTTCGGTCAAGAGTTAACGAACTCATATCTATATTACCATGGAAAATGATTCTTAGTTTGTTCATTTGATACCCTCTTTGTTGATTTGCAGACTAACAGCGATTTTGATGCCAAGCCAATGGTAATGCTTTTGGGTCAGTATTCCACCGGTAAAACAACATTTATAAAACACTTACTCGGATGTGACTACCCAGGTACCTTGCTCCGTTTCCTTAACTCTTGGAAATACAAGGAATCTTCAATTCTGTATGTTCACCCTCGCCATCTTGTTATCAGGAGCTCACATTGGTCCAGAGCCAACAACAGATAGATTTGTGGTTGCAATGGTAAGTTGATGTTTCTTGATTTTGTTAAAGGACTGCTAGTTACTTGTTGTATTCATTTAAGTTAATTCTTGTGATTTGATTTTCTTATAGAGTGGACCAGATGAACGGACCATACCTGGAAATACCATGGCTGTTCAAGCTGACATGCCATTTAACGGGCTAACAAGTTTTGGAGGTGCTTTCCTCTCAAAGTTCGAGTGTTCTCAAATGCCGCATCCGGTGAGTGATTAAGCATTACCTCACTGCCTATTCTTTATCTTTCCCTCTGTTGGTTTATACAAGCTTTGTCTTCCTGTTTCTGTTGTAGGTTTTGGACCAAATTACTCTTGTAGACACACCTGGTGTTCTTTCAGGAGAGAAGCAAAGGATGCAAAGGAGCTATGACTTCACTGGTGTCATCTCATGGTTTGCATCTAAATGTGATATGATTCTTCTTCTCTTTGATCCCCACAAGCTTGACATCAGTGATGAATTCAAACGCGTGATAACATCTCTACGTGGTAATGAAGACAAGATCCGTGTTGTCTTAAACAAAGCTGACCAAGTTGATACTCAACAAGTAAGTTTCGATTTCGTCTCATTCATTTGTTACGTTCATAAGCTTCATTTTTACTCATCATTGTGCCGCTTTTTCTAAAGCTAATGAGAGTGTATGGAGCATTGATGTGGTCGCTTGGTAAAGTCCTGAACACACCAGAGGTCGTACGTGTCTATATTGGGTATGTTTTTTTTAGTACAACATGAATTGTCAACAAAGAAGTTAGCAAGCCATTAATTTCATTTGTCAACATAATAGATTGATTTGTTCTTTGCTTTTAACTTGTGCAGGTCCTTCAACGACAAACCCATAAACGAAGATGCAGTTGGACCGATTGGAAAAGAACTTTTTGAGAAAGAGCAAACTGATCTTCTAGCAGACTTAATGGACATACCCAAGAAAGCATGTGACAGAAAGGTATGATTTTAATGAGTCTTAGTTTAGACAGTAATGTGAATTACAAGTCTCAGTTCAGGACATTCTGGAAGTTGAAAAGGAGACTTGACTATCTTTTTGTTATACTTTGCAGATTAACGAGTTTGTGAAGCGAGCTCGAGCTGCAAAGATCAATGCATACATAATGAGTCACCTTAAGAAGGAAATGCCAGCAATGATGGGCAAATCGAAAGCTCAGCAACGTCTCATGGACAATCTCGAAGAAGAATTTGGAAAGGTTAGTAAATATCTCATTTGGTCTAGAACTTAAGACTAATCGCATTAGGTGTAGCCCTATAGGGGTTAAACATTTGCAATTACTGTGAAAATCTTTCTATGATAAATTTTGGTAGAATTAGAATTGATTTCTTCATGTTTTAAACCAAAGTATTTGACTGTAAGCCAAACCAGAATGTACATTACACATTTATCTCGTATTTTTTACACATGTTTTCCAGTATTATGAAAACCTCCTTATGTAAAAAAAAACAGGTGCAGCGAGAGTTTCATCTTCCGGCTGGAGACTTCCCAAGTGTGGAGCATTTCAGAGAAGTATTGGGAGGCTATAACATTGACAAATTCGAGAAATTGAAGCCGAAGATGATTCAAGCAGTGGATGATATGCTGGGATACGATATTCCAGATCTCTTGAAGAAATTCAGAAATCCTTATGATTAAATAATAATGTCAGCTACTTCAACAAACTTACTTGAAGTTTCAGAGTATGTTAAATATTTGGACTTATGTTTTTTGTTCTTCTGAATGTTTAAATTGTTCAAATCAGCAAGTGTTAACCAATTCATTTTGAAATTAAAAAAATTTGAAAACGTTATGAAAGAACTGAATTATACATCAAATCAATAGCAGTTTATGTAATCATTCCTCTGGTAATGCTGATTGTTGTTCTGCTGATCTAAAACAGCGGTATACTCCGTTCACAAGAGACTCGTCTTCATAGTTCTTCCTTCAGGTTCCTTGAGGTACATCCGGTCATCTAAGTACGCCGTGATCAATTGTATATCCTTTTCTTCCCTCAGTTTCGTCAAGAAATGCTCTCGCACAACGTTCATAACTTTCACAAACTGAGATTTGTACCGTTGATGAAGACCAAACCCTGCCGTTTGGAGAAAGGCGTTTAACGCTGTCGCAGTAGCTATGTTGATGGCTGAGATGTTGTTAAAGAACCGAGCTAACCAAGCCCATCCATGTTCTATCCCATGAAGGTTAGTAGCATTACCACCGCGAATATCAGTCTGGACAAGTGCACCGTATAGCCTCATTGTAGAATCTAGGCGCTCATATGCCTCGGAATCCCACATTGACTGTGAATTTACATCATGATTTGGGACAGTGTAAATGCAAGCTTTGTGGAATTCAGCAAGAAGAATATCCATAGCTTGTGGAAACTTCGAAGTGACATAAACAATGATGTAGCTGCATGCAAAAGGGTTTTGCCTAGAGGAGACCATCCTCTTTGCAAAAGCTGCAATACTGATGGATAAAGGACAACGAGGATCTTTAAATACTTTGACGATTTCGTTGATTTTCGCATTCACCGTATCCTTTACTCCAGTTATTTGCCTTATCGCCCTTCCAATTCTCCTTTCAACTCCTAAAGTCCTGATTTAAACGTGATTTCAGCTCTTTGTTCATTGATTCTAACTCTTCAAGTTTCTTCAATCTTTGCTTCTCCAATGCCAAAGCAACAACACTAACTCTCTCTATGACCTCCTTTTCACCTTTTTCTTGACGTATTTTCTCTTCTTGATTTGCCCTTTCTCTCTTCTTGGCTTCTTCCTGAGCTTCTTCTCTCCTTATCTTTCTTTCTTCTATATACGATTTAATTTTATGTTCACGTTGGACTGCACTCATATGAGTATCAAGTGCTTCAGCAACTTTTCGCTTATATTGAAGATCAAGTCTCCGTTCAACTTCTCTACGATTTTCGCGGTACTTCTCAACCCGAGCTAAAGCAGAGCGAGACGTTTCAATCTCATTCATAATTTCCTTTTCAACAACTGATACTTGATTCTTAACATCTTCCTTACTTTTGGTTTGGTGGTCGTTCTCAGCCAAACCCATCTTATCCATCATATAATCAAGCTCATGATCAAACTCATCATCACTCAAGTATAAATCATCACAGGTACAGATTTGACTATAATCTTCTTCTTCTTGAGCACTATGATCTACATCTTCATCACTATCCATATCATCTTCTGATACACGCACTACGAATCCTCTATCACTCCTTCCCGTTCTTAAAGCATTGAGTTTCTTTGCGAAAGACTCGGTCTCACAGACCAAGCGATCGAAACTCCTGTTAGGCTCAGGGTCATAGCTAAACCCTTGGACGCTTTTGGGACAATGAGGTTCCGAAACAACAATTCTCATTATTAGGTCTCTCTTTAGTGTTTTTGGTTCTCTTCGTTATGATTAATCTCTAACACAAGACCTCTCTATTTATAGAGTTTGTGATATTAATATTGTAACAATTTCCATTTTTCTTGTTTGCCTTTTTTCCTTCATGACTTTGTTTTTGTTCAAATTCTTTTGTATCTTGATTTCCTTTTTTGTTTGTTTTCCGATTGTCTTTCTTTTCCAATTTCTTGATTTTCCTTTTTTATTTTACTAAAACGAATCTATTTCCAACAAATTCATAGGATTATTGAATCATTCTTTTTGTTTTTGGTAAATAATATTTTTGTGTCACTATAGTTAGAAATAGAATCCACTGGATTTGTGTCTCCAAAGTCCAAACGTTACCACAAACGCTTCAAACGCTTCAAACGCTTGTCACATTTATTTAAACGCTTCAAACGCAAAAGAGAGAGAGAAGCAAGCGAGAAGGAAAAAAACAATCATTGGAAGAAGCAAAAAACAAAAAAGATAGAAATGGAGAAGAAGCTACCGAGAAGATTGGAAGGTAAAGTCGCGATTGTGACTGCTTCGACGCAAGGAATTGGCTTCGGAATCATTGAGCGTTTCGGTCTCGAAGGCGCTTCCGTCGTCGTCTCTTCCCGCAAACAGGTTTCACGATCTCCCCAGTTTCTTTCTTATTATTTCATATTTGGAATTTGAATTAAGATGATGAAATTGTTGATTTTCTGGATCTTAGTATTTGTGCTTTCATTAGATAAAGCTTTTGTTATTGGGGATTTTGATTTTGCAGTTTTACTGTAGACAGAATTGTGAAAATTCTGTAGATTAGAGCAGCAGATTTTGTGTATTTCTGAAAACTCGTAGCTTTGTTTAGCCAACTTTTCTCCTGACTAAAAGGGTTGCTTTTGTGCAGGCAAATGTTGATGAGGCAGTAGCAAAACTCAAATCCAAAGGGATTGATGCATATGGAATCGTCTGTCATGTTTCCAATGCTCAACATCGCCGCAATCTTGTCGAAAAGACTGTACAGGTACTAGATTTATGAGCTTCTGGTTCAATTATTATGAACATATTTACATAACCAACAAGTTGTTTTTATTGTTGTTGATTGGTCCTGTGCGCACCTTTGATTTACTGAAGAGATGTGTTTTGTGTGTTTCGGTATCAGAAATATGGAAAGATAGATATAGTTGTCTGTAACGCCGCTGCCAATCCATCTACAGACCCAATCTTGTCTAGTAAAGAAGCTGTTCTTGACAAGCTATGGGAAATCAATGTCAAATCTTCTATACTTCTCCTTCAGGTAAAGCTTTCCTTTTATTAGTTTATATACAAAGGATGCAAAACATACTGAAGTGTTAGCATTTTGTTTCCACTTTCCATGGCCCAAAATTTGATTTGACTCCTCTATGTTCATTTTACCAGGATATGGCTCCTCACCTAGAGAAGGGTTCTTCTGTTATCTTCATAACTTCTATTGCTGGATTTCAACCACAAGGAGCCATGGCTATGTATGGGGTCACTAAGACTGCTCTTCTCGGACTAACCAAGGTATGTGTATCATTGTCTCCATCTCATGATTGAATGGTTATGATGATGATTATGACATTATACATCATGTTTCTCAGGCACTTGCTGCAGAGATGGCTCCCGATACACGTGTGAACGCAGTTGCACCCGGTTTTGTGCCCACACACTTTGCTTCTTTCATCACCGGAAGCTCCGAAGTGGTAATCTTATAAGATTGAAACTGTTAGACTGAGATTATGAGATTGTGTCTCAAGTGATGGAATAATAATAATTGAACACTTGTGGATATGCTCAGAGGGAAGGCATCGAAGAGAAGACTCTGCTTAACAGGTTGGGAACAACGGGAGACATGGCTGCTGCGGCTGCTTTCTTAGCATCAGATGATTCTTCTTACATCACGGGAGAAACTTTGGTCGTCGCTGGAGGAATGCCCTCAAGACTCTAAACCAATTTCCCATCAATAATAGCGTAAAAAAATGCAATCAGGGTAACAAGTAAGTAGAGATCGTTTTATAAGTTTTCAACAAAAATAAGATTTTAAGAGAAGAAAGAAGTTCCAATAATATCATGAGGCCATTGGATATCTTTATTGGTCTTGTAAAAGATAATTTCTTCATTAGAAAGACTCGTTTGGGTTTTTTTTTTCGAAGTTAGAGCAATAAAGTTCGGGTTTCGTATGAATGTATATAGGTTAGGTTTTATTGTTTGTTTTGGTTTACATTTGGGTTTAATGTGTTGACTACTTTTATTCACCCAAATAAGTGGTTCTGCGTAAGATTCGCTTCCGAGTTACCCCTCTCCTTCATCACTGGAAGCAATCGTGATAGGAATTCTTTTGACTCAGTGTTTGGAGGCTAGGTTTTAAGTAGTCTAGTCTGATCGAACCGTAGTCATAGAACCTAAGCCACTGACTACACTGCTTTTGACAAAGTGACGCAACGAGAGTTGTAATTCATCTAGTATGTGAACATTGATCTTGCCACATAGTAGATACATTAATTATTTGTTTAGCAAGAAAGAGATTCATAAAAATACACTAATAATTCAATACTATCCATAGATATCGAAGCCACAAAAAGAGAACAAATTAAAACCATTCATAGATACCTTGGTAAAAGAGCTACCAAGCATTTCTTCTTTCTTTCCTGATTGAAAGAGATCGAAAACTCGACCACACATCAGACATGTCGACCTTGGGAAGAGCATTGTTCATGGCATCTCTTAAATTTTTATCATCAACAACATCATAGAAACATCCACGTCTCTTCGAGTCCCTTACAAGTTTTGTCCAAATCGAACCACTCAGCTCCAAAGTTCTTTCGTTACCAATCACCCATAAACAGTGCCTTGCACGAGTCAGTGCAACGTTGGCTCTTTGACGGTTAGAGAGAAACCCTATGTTTCCGTTACCGTTGTTTCTAACGGTGGATATGATAATAATGTCTTCTTCTCCTCCTTGAAACCCATCCACCGACCGAACATTCAAAGTGAAAAGCTGATCTGATACGGAGGTGTACTTATCTCCGATCCTCTCTTGGATTGCTCTAACTTGAGCTTTATAAGGTGAAATAACACCAACACTCATCTTCGTCTTTGCCTCACTTGACACTGTTTTAAAAATTAGGCAAGTTAAAAAGTACCATAATTACCTTTGAAAATCAGATTAAAAATTTACAAGATCAACAAATATTTACCTTGAAAAGATTGGTTAAGATCTCAGAAACCACGGCAACCTCAACCATGTTCTTAGGACTATGTCCATCACCAAACTCTTCTTTCCCGAGTCCCACGTTGATGAACGAGAAAGAGCCAAACATGTTTCCTCGAAGAAACCGCTTTTGATAGGTGCTTTCTTTAACAATCTCAGCATCAGAGATGTTACCATCATAAAACTCCATGTTGGGAAAAAGGCTTATAGAGGGATGCATACGATATTGAACATTAAGCAAATGTTTCTTGTGGCCAATCAAAACCAATCTCTCAAACAAGCTTCTCCCAAATTTGGCCCTCTCACATACCTACGCACACAAGAACTATGTTTCAAACGCAATTCCTACGTTTAAAATGCCAAACAAAAACAGATCAACAAGACAAAGAGTTTACCTCGCTTGCACCATTGCTGGTAGCTGAAGCTCATCTCCTATTAGAACAGCATGGTGCAAACCCTGAAGTTTCAATGCAGCAACTGATTCACATTCTTTAAGTTGAGCCGCCTCGTCAACTACAAGCAAGTCTATGGATCCTGTTCGTTCCGCGGTCATTTCTGCAGCACCCGAGGCAGTGCAGAAGATTATGTGTGCATTTTGTAGGCAGAATGTCCTTATATCCTCGTTTATCAACGAGGCTGGAATCTCAAAACGCTTTGATAGCAAACGTAGAGTCTGAAGGCAATCAACACGGATGAGTTTGTTAAAGCAATCTAATGTGAAGCTTCCTTGTTTCTCCTGCAAGAAAGATCTGGCTCGGCGAAGAGCTTGACGGGCTGCGATCATATTCTTCACATCGTTAGATGATAGAAAAGACTTGGGCAGATGCGTGTACAAAACCACCATATCCTTCTGGACCTTCTCCATTTTTTCGCTTAGCCCATCAAACTTTTTCATTACAAACTCCCCAAATGTAAGAATCTTTTCTTTCTTTTTAGCTTCTTCCTTCTCCGATCTTTCATTTGAGCCAAGAAACATTTTCATTACAAACTCACCAAATGTTGTAAGAATGTTTTTACTTTCTACCTTAATCTCCCTTCTTTCATTTAACAAGAGATATTTCTTATAACTAGACTCCACATTTTCAAGAATATCTATGACTGACTCCAAACTCCGTTCCCATCCAGTCAATGGCGAAAACAGTTTACGCAACTTACTAATGCGATGTTCAAGAAACACGTTGAGGAGATCATCATTCCCCTGTCATCTATTCCCATTCTAGCTCGGTTTCCGACCAAAAGAATATTCCCAAGACCGTAAGTAGAATGTTCTGATGAAGAAGATTTCTTAAATAACGCCAAGAGCCTCGATGCAACTTCTACTACAGCCGTGTTTGTAGGAGCACACACAACTGTTTTGCAACTTAGGTTGAGAAGAGCAAACAGAAGAGTAGCAACTGTCTTTGTCTTGCCGGTACCAGGTGGTCCCCAAATCAGTTTCACACTAGCCTTGTCACGTAAATTTCTTGTCTCCAAGCAACTCAAAATTGCAGATTCCTGAGAAGTGTTCAAGTTTGCAGACCGCATAATTCCCGATACATCATTCCCCCAATTCCTAGAAGAAACAGACTGCTCTGTATCCTGATTAACAAGGAAAAAACCACGATTACTCCACATTAGACACTAAAGCAACATCATTTTGTATTACTTACCGCGGTATTTGCTTGAAGGACACTCTTGATGAGACTCAAGTTGGCATCTCCGTTGTGCAAAGCCTTCCAGATACGAGTGTTTGTGGTCCAAATTCATAAGAAAAACACCCGAACGAAACGAAAATTGCTCATCAATGGATATAGTTTTGGAGGAATGAACAGAGAAATGTAGCTCATCTTCAACAGAGAACACATATCCAAGAATCAGTGGGTTTAAGTCATCCACGCGTGTTGGCCTTGCTGCTTTTGTGAGAGCAATGAGATCTCCATGTTTCGGCTCGTAACTTGTTCTATTTCCTTGTGCAACACTCATCAGTCCTGATATATTAACCTTGTTTGAGCTTCTACTCGGTAATTTAATTGCCGTAGCCTCCACGGAATGTATGTAAAAGACAGGAGCTTTCCACAAAGAGTTCAAGCTTGAGAACAACTCGGTACGTGTTTCCTCTAGTAGCAGAGGAACAAAGCAGTTAAGGTATTCATCAACGGACCAAAACCTGTCTGGTATCGACCTTATCTCTTCCTTGTAGATATCTTTGTTGAGAATATAATTGATGGACCAAGAGAAGATTTGATTAATCAGACTTTTCTTCTCGTTCCTCTCCATGTCACAGTATCTTTCTGCAACATAATAAACAAAGAAAACGCTGAGTTAGGTTCCTACTTCCTACTTCATAGCAGTAGGTCATAGCTACATAGAGACATAACTTGGCTTACAAGGCTCTAAGCAGTTTCTTCAAAAGAACTGATGCAATAGGAAATCAACAAACCCAAACGAAGACAACAGGAAAAAGCTGGCTTATCATCAGTTTGGTCTACTTAAAGGAGGAAGAAGGCGAAAGGTTAAAAACACTGTTGGGAAGGAATATATAATTTTAACAGTTTCCAAGAAAATAGAGAGAGATATTAAGCGAAGATAGCACCTTGCATGCATAAACTAGAATTTAAGTTAATATAAATTTGCTCATCATTTCTTTTTCTTTTTGAAAATTTTCATTAGTACTTTTTTTGGTTACGAGAAATTAGTTCACTTAAGGAAGAAGAAAGGTCAGAAACTTAAGAACGAAGCATTTACGGTGGAGAGGACACCAGTTGCCTGCTTTGAGTCGTCCTAATCAGCAACATGATTATACGAAATTAGTCACATCACACATTATTTATAATTTGAAATACCACACAAAGTTTTAATTTAAAAATACAAAAATTGTACTTCTTTAGTTCCAATAAAACCTGATTCCAAAAAAAAGGTAAAATGGAGCAAAAGAATTTAATACAAATTTTACACTTGAACCTTTTAATGTACACAAAACATAACCCCATTGTAAGAGGCAAAAAACCGATATGGTTTCCTTTTCTCATCCCACTCTTTCTTCAGTCTTAGGGCCTAGCTCTTGACTATACATTATATATAATTTGCTCTATAGATTAATAGTGAAGCAATACATACATGCATACGTAATGTTATATATGTGTTTTTCAGACAGGAATGACATCAGCATTCTGATTCTCGTCACAAGTAATGATAAGGCCATCCACATAAGTTGGGAGGAGGCAACGCCACCATTTGCAGCCAGTGGCGACGGATTCCGCAGGAGGAATGATCATCAGAACGTTGTCGTGTCGCCTCACCATTCCCATCACGCTTACGGTGCTCCCTTCTTTTATGTATCTGATCAACAAATTCAGAAATAGTATCATCAAAATGGCCAAGAAGATTCGAAATACATGATTATAGGTGTGTGCATGTAAGATGTGTCTGAGAAAGAGACCAACACTTTTAAAAAATCTTTGAAGGGTAATAATAAAGCAGCATAAAGATCATTCTTTTGTAATAAAGCTATTTACTTTGAGAATCTTTCTTGTTCTGAGAAGAGTTCAAAGCACAGAAAAGATTCTTCCTTTGAACTAAAGCCATTCATACTTTATGTTAAGGGTTAAAAAGCACCAAAAGATCCTTCCTTTGAACTAAAATAGGAAACTAAATGACTTTACTTTTTAACCCTTCACATAAAGTAAATGGTTCTCACTGACTTTATACTCATAGGAAACAAAATCCATAAGTCAGAGGCAAAAGTCAATGGTTGGTTAGTTTCATTTAGCCGTTCTGTTGAAATTCACAGGGGTTTTAAAAATTTTGGTTAAAGTTTCAAGTTTTAGATAGGTGAAACGTGAAAATCACACTTGCAAGATTTGAAGAGTGACTCTAGTAGTAAAAAAAGGATTTTGTTTTGAGGGACACTTTGTACTTAACTTGATCAAAGTATAAGGATGAAGACGTTTAGCAGAAAGCAAATGCATGGTAATAATATCATACCCTTCTTTGAGACGCATAGCAGAGTTATCATTGGAAAGGTTGCGATCCGCTAACCATTGTAGAAAGCTTGGAGATAAATCCTTAGTTTGCGAGGTTACATTAGCTACTGTTGTTGGTTTGACAATTGGAGAAACTTTTGATCCATATCCTGCTTTAACAAGTGCTCGCAATCCGGATTGAAAGTCCGAAATGTAAAAATCCGATACATATCTCTGCAACATAACCAAATAAAACAATGATCACCAAATATTCAGATAAAACACTTGAATAAGAGGAGAAAGAGTAAAAAGAATCTACACCTCAGCATGTCTGCATCCCCACGAAAAACATCTATGTTTCAAGTTAGCGGATTTCCCACAAAACCTTTGTACTCATACAATTCCGTCGATACATAAACACATCTCGGTATCCTTTGGTATGACGACTCAAGCGGGATACTTCCACATGTTACAACCTGCAAACATAAACGTAACAATACCTCATTGATCACTCAAAAGACTAGACTAGATCATAACAAGTTTACCATATCAGGAATACTGATTAGTCTCACTAACTAAGCCAATGATCACACAAAAAAGAGGCAATGAATATGACATTCTAACTAATCAACTGATTAACTTACTTAACTCATCAAATTACCAATTAGCTTAACCTAAGAGTCTAAGACGCAACAGAGTAACACAAAAATGAAGTCTTTAACTAAAACTGGAAACTTGCCCCTGTGACCTTGATGAATTGTCCATCAATGGCGCCTCTAATCACAGCATCTGGATGATTCTTGATGAAACTCATTAACCCTCTTCTTCTCCAAATACAATTCCACACAAAAACCACGACCGCCGGAAATATCGCCGCCACAATCACCACCACAACTAATGGCTTCTTCACCGCCACAGAAAAACGCACCAATTAATAAACCCATCCCTGCAACTACAATCACTGCCCAAATCACAGCTTTTGGTACTCTAAACCCGACCCGAATCGGATCCGAGTTCAAAACCGTCACACCGGATCCATACTTGGGTTTGCTCGATCTTGTATTACTCGTTTGATGATGTTGATCAATCTGACCCGACCTTCTTGACCCGGACCCAATTGGACCGGACGAATTAAGCGGACCGGAGGTGATTAAACCGGTGGGTTGAAGCTGAGAAAGAGGACCTGAAGATTTTCTAATTAGACCCGATTGAGATCCGGATCGAACGGATCCACTATTCGGATTCGAAGACGAAGCAGAGGGGACACGTGGCGGTGGCTGTCTAGCTGATTCGCCGGAGAAAATCGACGGAGGTCTTTGAAACGAGGTGGGATCATTGACGGAGATGTCGAACATCCTTCCGAGCTCGCCGGATTTCTTGATATCGCCTCCGGTGTAAGGCATAGCACGAGCCGCCATTGTCGGTGGTCGTTCTTTAGGTTGTTCGAGTTTACCTGAAACGTAGAGTCCACTTGGTAATTGGTGAGATTGTAATCGACCCGCCATTGTTAGAGAGTTAGAGAAATGTAGAGAATTTTTAGTTTCTCTCTTCTTTTTGGGTGAATTGGTAGAGAGAGAATGTGTAGCAGTGGTTAAGTGTTTGAGTGGCAGTGAAGATGGAAGAGAAAGAAAGGAGACGATGTTGTTTAAATGACGGTTTTACCCTTGAATATTGAATTTGATGACGTATTTGTTTTTTTTTAATAAAACAAAACGTCGACGGAGAGGTTTCCAAAAAGGTTTTTGATTGGTTCATGTGCCACATAAGCCCCACATTTTGTTAGTGGATTGTCTTTTTACTTTTCTGTCCCCATATTTTTAAAGATTTTTTCCAAATGTACCATAAAATATTGGGGAAAACCATCGTTCAAAAAATAGCGGGCGTTCGGTATGGATCTAACGATTAATCGGAAAATCGGATTAAAATTAGTTTTTAGTTGGGACTAGTTTTAGAATTATTTTAATATTTAAAAAAACAGATTAATCTAATATTGTTTTCCAAACGGCCGTAAACACATGAAAATGTATTTTTCAGACAAATTTTCATAATTTTTATTAAAATTTGAACATAAGTTATAAAACATTATAAACTCCCAATTTAAATATTTGAATAACAAAAAGAAAAGTTATTTTATACTTGTAATCTAAAGTAATCGGGATATGTAAGATTAAACGAAGAGTATTCAGATTAGGCAGGAAGTAATCGGATTAGGAGGAGTGTAATCGGATGACCGATTTATTTAAAAGATTAGTCATTAACCGAGGCGGATAGGATAGACCTATCGATTAAGCGGGGAGTAATCGGAGCTAGACAGAAATTTTTAGAAAATGGGGAAAACTATCAATACTACCATTTTTTTTCTCTTTAAATCCATTTTTAATTTTCAAATTGACTATGTAAATTTTTGAATTAACATTATACATATTGCTTTAATTAGTCTAACAAAAGTGAAACATATCAAGTAACATAAAAAGTAATTTCAACAAAAAAAAAACATATAAAGTCCTCCTCTTTTACCTTTTGTAAAGTTTACTATTGTGTTTATATAATTAGCATTTTTAAAAAGTATTGAGTTGTTATTTTACAAACTTGAACAACTGTCAATTTCGAATTGAATTTTTAATATCATAAAAGAGTTATTTTTGCATGTGTTTTCATTTAAACGTTTGTGCTGTTGCATGATGTTACAAACAATTTTACCAAACAAACAAAAGAAGATGTTACAAACACCAAATATATAACAATGTTTTATTTAATGAAAAGGTATGTGGGGTTACCCACATTAGAGAAAAATTGTGGGTATGATACAATAACCAAAGAAGAATTAAAGAAGAGCATGCAAATTCAATTTCAAATCCTCAATTCCCTCACATTTCATATTCACTCATCATGATTCATATGCCCCTCCATTATTGATCATGGGTCGACAGATCCAACGACTCACATAAATTCCAAATGATATCTTCCCCCACAAAAAGAATTATAAAAATTCACTATTTTCAAAATAGGAAATCTGAATGGTAATTACTAATTAGTAGGGTCAGTCCCTTTAAAATCTTTTTTGTTTGTTCATTTAGTTCTTTGGACGCTTCCTCTGCAAAATGCAAATTTTGTCATCGATAAACCTTGCATCTATATAAAGTTTACAAATGACAATCGTCATATACAACTATTATATATATATATATATATATATATATATAATCACTTGGATTTTTTCTTAGAACACAAATGTTTTTTTATATAATATTTTCTAGGCTTGTGCATTTATTCGGTTTATAATTTTCGGATTTTGTTTTGGTTCGGTTTGAGTTTTTGTCGCTCAGGTTGGTGTTGGTTCGGTTTGGATATACAAAAATGAAATTAAATAACGAAGTATTAGTCTAGTGAATTTTGGTTTTATTATGTTCAATTGCATAATTTAATGCAATACATATTACTTTGTAAGATATTTTTCTATCACTAGGATTATTATTTTTTAAAATCATTTTGATTTTTGGTTTACTATATTTTCGTTTAGGAAAAGAGATCACTTTTTCTAATTGATCTTTACCTTAAATGTGACAATCAATTTGCTTTTCTTTAATTTCTTTTTTAACTTAAGTGACATTCAAGTAATCACTTTGATTCGTTATATATTATAGATGGCAATATACTATTAAACACCGTTAGACAAGGTCGCAATCAATAGCAGCCAACCACAAGGAACAAGTAAGAAGAACGAATAACTTTTTTTTTGTTTGACTAGCAATGTTACATTAGAGAATATTTCTTGAGAGAAATTTTTACGAGATTACAGAGAAAAAATCGATGGCAACTTCGAAGCTTCAAGCTCTCTGGAATCATCCAGCTGGACCTAAGACAAGTGAGTTTTTAACATCCATGAATACATGAATGTTTCTTCACTTTTGACTTTTCGCACTGTGAGACTTGATCATTGAATTTTCATCTTTTGTTGCTCGATTTGCTTTGATTCAAACCTAAATTTCCAATTCTTGGGTGACTCCGTAACAGATCCTACTTAGTTTGGTTGGTTTTGTCTTAGAACAAGTATCTGAAATGAAGTCTCTCCGCATCACGTTTAAATCTGAGGATGTATTGATATGTTGCTACGAACTTTGACTATGTAGGAATTTTGATTGAGAAAAGCTTAACCGAATGGTTATCGTTTAGACATAGATTCTGATTCAATTTGGGTTCGGTTTAGATTGGTTTGGTTAAAATGCTCTGTTTTTCTTTAGTGGATTGGATTCCAAGTTTAATCAAACAAGTGCATTTGGTAGCTTGATCAAACTTTCTACAAAAACCTGAACTGTAAAATCATTTTGTATTGTCAGTTCATTTTTGGGCGCCGACGTTCAAGTGGGGTATAAGCATTGCCAACATTGCAGACTTTCAAAAACCTCCAGAGACCCTTTCATACCCTCAACAAATTGGTATACTCTTAGATATAGTTCGGCTATGTATCGATGTGTGAACTTCTATGTTTATATGATGCCTCATATCACTTTCATTGTGTCGCCATGTCTCAATCTTCTTACAGTTTTTGTTTGCAATATCTATTGTATCAGTGATCACAGGCACTGGACTTGTTTGGTCGCGTTACAGTACTGTAATCACTCCGGTATGTTGGCTGAGTACTAATGATATAGTTTGTATACTTCTATTGCTTTGCTCTTGTAGTGGATTACTGGTTGATTATGATTTTGTTTCAACTTTTTGTTTACAGAAAAACTGGAATCTCTTTAGCGTAAGTCTTGGAATGGCCGTGACAGGCATATACCAACTTACTCGTAAAATAAAGTAAGATCTAAAGAACATTCCTATTTACAGTTGCATGAGATATGTGTTGAAGTGCTCTGCTTTGATTTGCAATGGCAAAAAGAACACTCCTTTTGTTTTTTCTAATGAACATAGTTTGGTTATGAGTTACATCATGGTTTTAAACTTCACCATTGGTGTTTGTCTCTGTTTTTACATTGTGTGTGGTTTGCAGGCACGATTATGCATCTGAAGCAGCTCCTATTATTGCAAAAGAATGATGAAGATGAAGCCTTGTGGTTCTTATTAAAAACTCATCTTTCTTGCAGATTTATTCCAAAAAATCATCATGTCAAGGCTTGATTTTGTTTGAATACCCAAAAAACCGCCGGCTTATAAATTGTTTGTTATAGTTAGATAATGAAATACTGGTGTGAGTACTATGATATAACTTTTCTGCATTTTCTTCAAACCAAAATTATAAAATTTAGAGAAATGCTTAATTCCAAGAGCCATTCCATGTCCAAAACAAAGTCACTGTAACTGGTTCATGATATAGCTCCAGTTAAATGGTTCCATGATAGATCCAACAGATGTAGATGTGTCAAAAAGTGTTGTGGTATGGTTGTGGAAAAAAAAAGTGTTATGGTATGGTTATAAACTTCCACAAAACCTTTTTTTAACCAAAATTACAAAATTAAGAGGAATGCTTAATTAGTTAATTTCACTTAACTTGTTTTCTATAAATGTACAACCATTTTGCACCAAAGCATAGTTGCCAACTATGTCTATCTCGAACAATGTATGCTTGAAGCTGACAAGCAAGTTTAGTCATACTTTTGCAGTATGAACCACTGTAGTAACTTCAAATTGACACACACTAGAGCGTCTCGGAGAGTCAAAGAGTTTTTTATAGAGACCAGGCTCTTGTTTCTCTCCATGAGGTAGATTCAAACGTAGAACAAGCTTCTTGAGTGATGTCGCGTTATCTAGAAAGTATCTAACTAGTTTCTTCTCTGTTGCTTTCTCCGTGATCGGGCTTTCCATTTCGACAGATTCAAGGGACGATACCAAACAAAATGATAGCACAGTCGAAAGCTCATTACTACTGCCTCTGGATGATCATCATTAACTAATTCCTACAAACATAAATCAACAAAAACCAAACAAGATTTAATGAGCAGTTGAAAAAAAACTTTCTTAGGTAAGAAATTGCAAAGTTTAAGCAAGTCATTACCAAGGTCAAGTGTTTCATATTCGGGCAGCTCTCAAGAACCATTGGCAATACTTCCAGAGAGGCATTTAAGTACATAGTAGCACGCATACGGGTCAAGTCACGAAATTTGGGTAGTGGGTTCATATGCTGGATACTATAGATTAACTGCCACCAAAGAGAAGAAGTCATAGAACATTTGATTGGTTAAAACAATGGTGGTGAAATAGTTTAGAGCTTACCATCAGATTTATATACCTTAAGAGTTTTGCATGAGACGGTCATATCTCCAACGGCGGAAAAATTGTTGAGAAGATTATAGATGATTTCTTTCCGATAAGTTATGACGCCTTGGCTCATCAAAGTCGACATCATATCAACCTTGACAGAGTCACTCATACTGATAATCTTCAATAATCTTCTGAATTTGTAATCTATGAGACTCATATACTCAAGCCTCGGAGTATTAATCACAACTACATACCTAGGGAATTTAACACCTTCTAAGTACATAATCTTGAGACAAGGTAAGGAAAGAGACTCAAAATCAGCCAGCCTTGCAAAATGGAGCTTTAAGCATACCAAATTCTCACACACAGATTGGTTTAAAGGTATCTTAATGTTCCGAAATCCAAGCTTATTATCAACTTGCAAATGTTTGATCTTGTGCTTGATCACTCTACTTAAACACGGCTCGTAACGAGAAACATGACCTCCAGTGATTAACTTGAATTCACGCAAGTAGAATTCGCTCTGGAAATTCAGAAACTTGTTGATGAAATCCACACATTCTTTGTTATTTGGGAAATAGACACTGTCTAATTCTAACGTCGGAACCCATTGCCAGAGAGTTCTCCATCTAGAGGACAAAGCACTTGTCCAAACAGCTTCCTCAGTTGTAAGAAAGCTAAGTATATGACATAACAAAGATTCAGGTAATAAGCTTATCCTATCTTCTCCTCTGCTGATTCCTAGTTTCTTTTCAAGAAACATAATTATGAGATGAAAACTGAAATTAATTTGAAAAACTGAATTATTACAAATTCTCAAGTAGATACATAAGATTGAGAAAGTAAAGACGGATAAGATCAAAGAGGAACTTACAAGTTTCTCGATTTTTTCAAGTCCGACAAGCTGAGATCATCCATATAACCTCTATCTTCTGTTCTTGGTGTTTTCGAGTAAATCGTCTCCCTAAAATTTTAGGGTTTTAAAATTACCGTAAGTTGCTAGAGTGCAACACAAGTTTTAGGTTTTTCTCTATGATTTATTAGAAATTAGAATAACAACAAGAGCACAGCTTCTACATAAATAGTTACAAAAATAGAAGATATCATATCATGTAGTTGTGTTTGGTATTTTGAATAAAACTTTTTAAAGAAATTATGAAATATCAAACAGAAAAACATAACTTTAAGGAAAACTATGTTTTTGATTATAAACCAAAATTGGCCCAGTTATATAAAAGCCCAATTAAACATATTGTAGAACCAATCCTAAAGTTATGAGTTGGGTTATTAAGCCCAATATTCAGCCCAAAGTCAAACCCTTTTCTCGCAAACTCTGATGCGATTGACTATGCGAAGAAGAAGTGTCCGCCACCTTTTCCCGCCAACTTCTCTCTCTACCTCCCTCTTCTTCTTCTACTTCATCATCTTCTTCTTCTTCTTCAATCTCTCTTCATTCTTCACCCAGAAAAACCCTAGCTTAGACCATCCATGGCTTCGACTCCAAGAGCAAAAACCTTCAAATCCCCAACCAAAACTCCGACTAACATCTATCGCAAATCGTATCTATCACCATCTTCAACCTCACTCACTCCTCAAACCCCAGAAACTCTAACTCCTCTTCGTAGATCCGCTCGTCATATTTCTCGAAAATCGATCTGGGAAATGACCCAATCGATGTTCCAGGAAGAGAATCAATCGAAGAAGAATCTAATTCGAAAACGAGAACGAGCGCCCAGAAAACAAATCACTGATGTGTTCCAGAGAAGTCGAAGAAATCAGAAACTCCAAGAAGAAGAAGAAGATCGATTCGGAAGTTTCCTTCTCTCCTGTTTCACCAATTCGATCTGAGACGATTAAGAAGACGATTAAGAAGACGAAGAAGAAGAGAGTTTATTACAATAAAGTCGAATTCGATGAAACCGAATTCGAAATCGGTGATGATGTGTATGTCAAGAGAAGAGAAGACGCGAATTCAGATGAAGAAGAAGATCCAGAAATTGAAGATTGTCAGATTTGTTTCAAATCAGATACTAACATAATGATTGAGTGTGATGATTGTTTAGGTGGATTTCATTTGAAATGCTTGAAACCGCCATTGAAGGAAGTTCCTGAAGGTGATTGGATCTGTCAATTTTGTGAGGTTAAAAAGTCAGGTCAGCAACACTTGTGGTTCCTAAGCCACCGGAAGGGAAGAAATTAGCGAGAACGATGAGGGAGAAGCTTCTTTCCGGTGATTTATGGGCGGCTCGAATCGAGAAGTTGTGGAAAGAAGTTGATGATGATGGTGGTGTGTATTGGATTAGAGCTCGTTGGTATATGATACCTGAAGAGACGGTTTCGGGGCGTCAACCGCATAATTTGAAGCGAGAGCTTTATTTGACGAATGATTTTGCTGATGTAGAGATGGAATGTATTCTTAGGCATTGTTTTGTGAAGTGTCCTAAGGAGTTTTCGAAGGCGAGTAATGATGGTGATGATGTGTTTTTGTGTGAGTATGAGTATGATGTGCATTGGCGTAGTTTTAAGCGTTTGGCGAATTGGCTGATGGAGATTCGGATAGTGATCAAGAGTGGAATGGTAGGAAAGAGGAGGAGGTTGATAGTGTGAAGAGATGGAGTTTGATGATGAAGAAAGTGTTCCGTGGGGTTTCGAAGAGTAAGCGAGGAGGTTTAACAAGTGCAAGAGGAGGTGCGAATTCTCGTAAAGGGCGTTTCTTTGGTCTTGAGAAGGTGGGATGAAGCTGATTCCTGAACATGTGAGATGTCATAAGCAGAGTGAGTTAGAAAAGGCGAAAGCTACTTTGTTGTTGGCTACACGTCCTAAGTCTCTTCCTTGTAGAAGCAAAGAAATGGAAGAGATCACTGCATTTATAAAAGGTTCAATCTCGGATGATCAGTGTTTAGGAAGATGTATGTATATTCATGGTGTCCCGGGACTGGAAGACTTAGTGTATTATCGGTTATGAAGAATCTGAAGGCTGAGGTTGAAGAGGGAACGTATAGTCCATATTGCTTTGTGGAGATCAATGGTCTCAATTGGCTTCACCGAGAACATTTATAGCGTATCTATGAAGCATTGAGTGGTCATCGAGTCAGTTGGAAGAAAGCTACAGTCTCTAAATGAGAGGTTTGCAGAAGGAAAAAGGATTGGTAAGGATGAAAAGCCTTGCATACTTCTCATCGACGAACTTGATCTTCTAGTAACTAGAAATCAGTCGGTTTATACAACATTCTGGATTGGCCTACAAGCCTAACTCCAAATTGGTTGTGTTGGGAAT